CGAAAGGATTGGTGTCCTCGTGGGAGGAGAACCCAGACAGCACGTTCTCCCAGCCACGTGAGGACACAGCGAGTCGGCGCTGTCCGTGAACTAGGAGCAGTCGCTCCCTGGAAACCAGCCCTGCCGTCACCTGGACTGGGCCCTAGCACTAGACCACTTTGACCTGAAACTGTCCCTTTCCCGCTCTCAACCTCGCAGAGAGCCAGCAGGAGTTGGGGCGTGAGCTGCAGAAAGGGCAGTGCTGTTAGGCTTCTGGGGGGTGCCTCTACAGTTCCCCTCCGGAACCTTCCATGGCAATGGCCTCCCTGTGCCAGGCACTCAGTGTGCCTTACCTCCTTCCTGTGAGGGACAACCATGTATCCTCCAGGGAGGACACCGGGGCTCAAATGAACCATCCCCGTCAGGGCGTGGAAGAGCTGGGGTCCCAGGTGGGCTGCAAGTCCAGCTCCCGCCCTGCCCTGTCTCTTGGGGAGGGCCACACAGGGTTCCCCAGAAGTCCACAGACCCAATCTGGGGGTCCGATAGCAGGCTGGGCTCCGAGTCCCACTGAGGCACCTCGAGGATCCTGCCCGGGGCCCTCTGGGGCCCTCCAGCCACCACGCTGCTCTGCTCGGCTAAGGGTCACGGACACACGCAGGTGGAGCGAGGCCCGCAGAGCAGGTCCTGTGGGGCTACTCAACTCTACTCCCCAGAGTCACAGACGGCCGAATTGTGGTAAAATCTGTCTCTAGTAGAACATGCTTGTGCTTGTCCATGGTCACCACCCAGCATCTGGGCACGGAGTCGTGGCTGAGACAGGCCTTTAGCAGAAACACCCACCCTGGGCTGGATGCCCACACCAGGAAGGAGGGCACAGGACAAGGCCGAGATGGGGGCCGAGGCTGGATGTCACACTGTAGAGGGGCTGGGCAGGAGGCTACTGAGGTGCTGGTGAAGTGCTAAAGACAGCACGGTCAGGTGCAAGTTGGCCTCTGCCTGTGGCCTAACCCTGGGCTGCTGCGCAGGTGACCACAGACCGAGTAGCGTCTACGGCAGACACTGACCCTCTCACATCCCTCTGCTGCTCCCTGGGTACTGCCCTTCCCGTGGTGTCGTGGTTGCCATAATTTTACAGAGAAGGAAACTGAGGATCAGGGAAGCTGAGGGACCCTCCCGAGATGAAGGTCTCCTTGTGGGCCTAGTGTCCTGGGCCATCTGGGAACTTTCCTGGCAGCCTCTGCCATGAGGCCTCTGACACCCACACGGACCTCCTGAGAGCAGACAGACTGCCGTCCCTGCGGAGGAGGCCACCACCACAGGAGCTTCCTCCCCGCACACTGTGCTGTGCTCATAGGCTGTGTGGAGTCAGCCCGGCCCACTGCTCAGCAGCTGCAGGACCAGGGCGGGCAGCCCCACTTCTCTAAGCCCTGGGGGCCTCATCAACCTCAGAAGCAAATGAAAAGAACCGTTTAGACACTGCAAATCAGGCTCCTGCCACCCAGCCCCGCTGGCACGCTGTCTGTCACTCACTGCTGGGACACGGAGATGGCCAATATGTGGCCAGGAAGAGCCTCGCTCAGGACTGCAGAGCCCCCAGGTGACTGGGCGATCGGGGGATGCTCGGAGTGGGGGTCTGAGCCCTGGGCAGAGGAGCACTCTTCCTCCCACAACCTCCTGGCAGCCCAGGCGAGGCGAGACTCCCATCCTTTGTGTGGACAGAGCAGAGGGCAGATCGTGGGGGAGGAATGACCTTAGGGGTGCAACGTGGAGGAGGGAAGGAAGGCATTTTCATGGAGCCTTTTCATCTGCGCAACCACCCAGCCCCACCTGTAACTGCTCAGGGAGAGGCGAGCTTGCTGCCCAACAGAAACACAATGGTCCCACTGTGCGTCCTCCAGGAAGGCCTGGCCACTGTCACTACGCAGAGAGAAGAGCCTTTCACAGCCCACTCCAACAGAGGCAAAGGACTGGTCCCCACACGTCTTTGGGAACAGCCTGACCGTGGGGCCATGCCTCTCCTGCAAGTCGTAGGTGAGGGGCGTGTGACAAGAAGAGAACACAGCAGGGGGAGGCAGCCCATCTGCACACAAGATAGCCAGAGTCTCTGCCTTGAAGGACCTGGGCCCTGCCGCCAGCTCTCGGCGTGGGGACCGGGCAGGCTGCCCAAGGGCTCCACACCCGGCAGAGAAATAAAACTGGACAACTGCTTTGAAAGAAAGGGCTCAGCGTTTGAACAATGTGTCCTGTGGAAGCAAAGGCATTCATCTGGGAACAAAATAATCTCCTGAGGAAAAACAGGAGACAGGAATTTTGCAGACGCTGCACTGTATCCCAAAGTTCAAAAAGCAATTACCGGGGGTGGGGAGTGGGGCAATGTTTTCAATGGCAAACAGAATCCCAAACATATTATGTATTCACGTGGAACAAAAGCTCTTTGCTGTCCCTGCTGAAATCTGTTTTTATAAAAATCCCGTTCCCCCTCCTAAATTCCTCATCTGTCTTCATCTAATCACAGCAGCCCAGCAAACACCTTCCCAAGCGAAAAACCTACCAAACAACACATTTTCTGGCTGAACAAAGTCTGGCAGGTGCAGGATGGATTTTTTTCTTCTGCCCATAAAATGAGTCCTGACCTGCCAAGCTCTCCATGAGGAGGGGGAGTTACTCAGCCCTGGCCACCTCCCCAGCAGCGGGTCCTTACTCCGAGTTCCTAGAGACAAAGCGAACAGGATGCAGCAGAATCGGGGATTCCAACCCCAGCCCTGCTCATGGGGCTCTTGGGATGTGCTTCACGTGCCCCCAGCTGATTCTAAGGATCACTAGCCAGACGCACGTGTGCAAGATGAGGTCAAGTGCTTGAAGCTGAGACCTGGGCCACCGTCCAGAATCACCTGAGAATGACGACAGGACACCCGCTAATGCCTGCTGGACAGTTACTAGGTGCCAGGCGTGAGCTGAACGCTTTACACAGGTTAACGTATTTAACGAAGGTGACCTGGCCCGAATCACCCGGACGTGTGCTTCCACTTTGCTGGGTAGCACAGACCAGCACTGTGGCTTCCCTCTACCCTCCGGGGGCCACGCAGGGCAGGTCTGAAGCTCCAAGCTCCCCAGCTAAGTCCTTAACGGTGCATTTCCCTCCTGGGCTCCAATGAAGGTTGTGGACATGACTTCTCAGGCAAACTCTGTCCATAAAGTGAGGTGCCCCATGTGGCCAGCAGGAGGGGATGGGAGCCAGGCTGAGGCCAGACATTGATCACAGGCAGAAGTCCCAGAGTGTGCAGGAGGGTGGGCCACAGGACGGCGACAGCCGCTGAAGTGCGGGCCTCGTGCTGGAGGGGAGCAGAGTGTGTGCTCCCTCGGCCTGCATGGGATTCTGGAAGCGGAAGTGCACACAGAAGATGGAAAGGGCAAGGGCAGACCCAGCCCAAAACCTAGCTCGCCTTACTCAAGACCAAGGGTCCTGCCTCCAGGAGCAAGTGACTCAGGCTGGGAAAGTTGCTGTGTGCCACAGCCCTGCCCTGCTCTCCACAGCACAGACACGGGCCCTGGTGTCCCAACTGACCCCCACGACCACACCAGGATGGGAGCCTTCTCTACAGCAGCTCGGTGCCTGTCTGCCGAGTTGCAATAACCAGGATCCGCCTGGCCCCTGGTGATAGGACCTGAGTGACAGCCCCAATAATTCCAGAGCCACTGGAGCTCCCAGGTGAGGTGGGCTGGCCAGGGTCCCGTGGAGAGGAGCTGGCCAGCTACAAGAGTAGAGACAGACTGAGAAAGAATTACAGACAGAGGTGGCAGAGCTGGGCTGGAGGAGCGGGGCGGGGCCTCCTCACTTCTGCAATTGTGCTGGGCAAAGGCTGAATCGGTGCCCAGAAACATGTCTCCAAATGCCTGAACAGGGGACTGTGTGGTAAGCTGCAGCTCGTTCTTCCCGTGCAACACTGCACATGTGGAAAAGAATGAGGCAGGTCTGCAGGCAAGGACACAGAAAGAGCTTCAAAAAGTTCATGGAAGAACTTACATTGTCTCTTAATTCAATTTTTCCACGAGCTTTTTGAAGCACCCTCATATGTGTGTATGCTGGGTGGGACATTTTCTACATATTTTCTATTTATTCCTACCAGCAGCCCCAAGAGAAGGCAGCCAGGGAAAGAGGCTCAGAGAGGGTAAGTGATTTCCTCAAGGTCACGCAGCATCTGACCAAACCCTGGTTTCTCCAGCCTTAAAACCCACAATCCTAACTTGGCCTCTGGATGTTAATGGTGGGCACGCCTGAGGGGTGGGGTTATAAGAGATTTCTATTCAATTTCTTATGCCTATCTGATCTTTTATTTAAATTAAACAGAGAAGGAAGATGGTGTTCCTTGTTTTGCAAATGTGGCAGCACCTGCAGGCCTGGTCCCCAGCTGAGCCCCCTCCCACCTCTGCCACACCCAGAAACTCCAACAAGAACGTTCCCGGCAGCATTTTCCACAATAGCCAGACACGTGGAGATAACCCCACACCACCCACGGAACGATGAATAAATTGTAGCATGACAAGAAACACAGCCCAGCCACGGGAGAGCACACGCCACCAGTGATGTCACACAGTGAAGCTGACACCAGTGGCAGAAGTAGTCAGCATGCTGGGCGAGAGCCCTGCTGGGGCTGGAATGTGCTATGTCCTCTCCAGGTGTGGTTTGAGATTCATTGACTGGGCACTTGAGACCTTCGAACTTACTGTGTAACAAGCAAGAAGCTGCAGGGCCCCTCTGTCATGCTCACTGTGTGTCAGGCCCCTAGGCCCTCGACACAAGCCCCCAGAACCATGCAGGGCTCCCTGCCCACGTTGGGGCCAACTGAACTTGCTGGGCAACCTTCCCCAAGAGGGGAAACGTGAAGCCCACCATGCAGCAGCTGGGCACACAAATTGAGGGGACACAGAGCAGGTGCCATATCAGGATCCCGAGCCTCGGCCGCTTCAGGAGCCCCAGGCATAGTCTAAAGGGTGCTGGCGGGGTCCCTGGCCACACTCACCCTTCCCAATCTGGACGAAGCCAAGCAGAATGATCAAGGCCAGCGCCAGGAGCTTGGCGGCAGCGAAGGCATCCTGGACCCGTGTGGCAGCCTTCACGCTGTAGCAGTTCACGGCCGTGAGCAGCACTGTGGGGACAGAAGGCAGGCGGTCACGACAAAACTCGGTTATTACCTAGAGCAGGCGCAGCAGGGAGAGGAACCTGCCAGTCGGCAGGCTGGGCTGGGGCCAGGGCTGGGCTCGAGCAGAAGCTCCCCCATTTCTCCCACACCCCTTCTGCAGTTTCTGGTTTTCTCAGGCCTGTTTTGACAAAGTTGGCTGTTCTCCAGGTCCAGGGTAAAAGGATGACAATGTCAAACTCCCTAAACAGCTGAGATCTCAGGTGTCCCTGGGCTGTCATAAAGGGTTTCCTTTTGTTTGACTGTTTGGTGGCTGGCCAGTACAGGGGTCCAAACCCCTGACCTTGCTGTTACAACACCTCACTCTAACCAACTGAGCTAACCGGCCAGATCCTAAGGGTTTCCCCTCAAGATGAATGGATGTCAGCCTCCTAAGGGACTCTGTCAAAATCACCTTCCTCCCTCCCCCACTGCACTTGCTGCACACCTGGGGTCCCTCCTGTGAAGGCTGGTCTCTGAGAGCACTGTCCTCAGACTCGGGTTAAAGAGGCCAACCTGCCGTCTGGAGGATGGACACGCTCACCTTTCTCACCTGCTCAACATTTCACCTGCTCATGTGATTCCAGCATAGCACTAGCAGAGCTGTGAGGGTGGGCCCTTTCTCCAAAGAGAATCTCCCATTGAATCTGACAGCCAAAACAGATGAGTTGGTGTCCCGTGTGCACAAGTCTCTGACAGCTCAAGCAGCAATTCTGACCGGGCCGAGACAGGGCTGCAGATGAGCGTGTGTGGACACACCCGAGACCCCCCAGCAAGCCGTGACGCTCAGGTGGGCTCGGCCAGCACAGAAATCTGCACACGCTCTCCACCCTGCTGCTATGTCAACAGTTCATGTTGACAACAGAAGATGGCTTCCACCATCACATAGATGTCTGAGCAGCTCTACAGGTAGTTGGAAACCGCCCCGCCCTAGAAAGAGCTGTGATAGGGACTGGCAGCATCAGCAGGAGACTGGGGGGCCGGGTACACAGATGGCCACTAAGACAGGCCAACAGATGCTCCCAGATGCTAGCAAGTCCTGCCTAGGCCCTGGGGAGACCCCAGCCCTGAGCCAGAGTGGTGTAAGGGGCAGGGGGGTGTCTTGTTGAGATGTGGTGTGCAGGAGACGGTGGCGTTACATGCTCAGGGCTCTGCTGAGAGCTGGGGCTAAACACAGCCTCTCTGCAGCTTAAGATGAAACAAAACGATGCCCATGCAAAGGCAGGGCTACATACACTGCACCCGTCGCTTCCTGCCACGCTACTCCCCACTCATCCGTGCTTGCGGCTGAAGAATAGCTGTGCTGAAAACACCCTGTAACCCCCAGCGCAGTGACCTTGTCAGTGGCTTGGAGTACGTACACCCCCAAAATCAGCAAAGGCTCCAGTCGGGGACCTTATCCCCAATCAGCACAGTGCCCCTCCATAGCCCCCACACCTAATGCTTCCCAGGAAGGCTGCAGGAAGGTAAGAAAGCCTGCGGGTCTTAGGCTCACCTCTGCTCTTTCCAAGGGAACTAACACTCAGAAAGGCCAGGTCAACCCAGGCCCCGTGGACTTAAGATGGCTTTCCCCCAGCTAAGCTAATTATAACTAATTTCAGGATGCGAGGAAATAAATCCACACTAATTAACCAGATGAGACCTGACCTTTCAGGCAGAACAGGAAGCCCCTCCCCCACTGTGCTGGGGACAAGACAAGCCTGTCTCATGTCTGCTCGCCTCTCTCAGAAGTTGACCGGCACCTTAATAACCACTCCCTTTTCTCTTTACTGCTCTGTGTGTGGCTCCAGCTGACCAAGACCACACACCACGCACTGGGAAGGTCTGGTTGGAAAACGCTTGGAAGTGGTTGTTTTAGCTGCTGCTCTAACATGAGACACTTGGAGACTCCCCGGCACGCCCCCCTCCGAAAGTGGAGAGAGTGGGGGACCAGGAGGAGGGCTAGTCACATAATTCCCTCTTCCTGGGGCTTCTCCCCAGCGATGTGGTGATGCTTCCAGCCAGTGCCTTCTGGTCCAGCCTCGGGCGGCCAGCCAAGGGCCTGGTATTGACGCAACAAAGCAGCAGGTGCCGCTTGGCTTGGCTCCACCCCCTGTCGCACGCGCTTCTGCACTTCCGTGTTCAGCAAAGGGCTGGAGGCTCCATCACCCGCCCATTCATATCCTGGGAGGGGGTGCTGGAGGCTGCCTCGCCCGCCCCTCTGCTGCTGCTCCGGAGGCTCAGCCCCTGCCTCTCTGCTCCAGCTGCCCTCTGCTGGGGGTCTCACCCATTCCAGACGAAGACACTGGGGGCTCCAGGAAAGGAAACAACTTGCCCAGTTGTCCTCAGCCCTGGACTGTCCTGTGCTGACATTGTGCTGGGCGATGACGCCATCATGGATGTCACTGGAGGCGGGACAGAGATCAGGGCCCCTCCTGAGACCCAGCCCAGCTGCTCCGGGCCTAAAAACGTCCTGAGCCCTGGCAAGTGCCCAGCGGACAGAGAACCAGCAGGTGCCAGACCACTGCCACATGGGCCGAGCTCCTGCTTAGGTCATGATATAAATCAAGTAGCTCAGGCAGAGCTGCAGCACCACAGTTGGGGGGGAATGAAACCATCACAGAACAAAGGGGGCTTTAGAATACTTATCTCTTTTATGAAAAGGACTGAAATACACAACGGAAGTCTAATGTACATCAATTTTGGACACTGAGTAAACAAGGACTTTATTATATTCCAGTGTTCCTTTTTCTAAAATTTCAAAATGAAGTATCATCTTAAAAAAATGAATGAATTCATCTGGACCCAGCGCCCTTTAGCCTTAGCAAGACCGGTCAGCATCAGGGAGGCTGGGAGCTGGGTTTGAGTCTCAGCTCCCCCACGCTGACAAGCTGCCTGACTTCCTGGCCTCAGTTTCCACACCTGCAGCTGGAAGGCAGTGGCTCGGACACAGAAGACTCAGGGTTAACTCACAGCCCCCACAGAAGGAGGAGAGGCAGGAGAAAGCAGCTGTGCCGCAAGCAAAAACAAGTGGGGCTGAGGACGGGCACACAGGGCCCTTTGGAGGTTGCCCGAGCCGGCACCCCAGATAAGCATGGCTGTGCTGGCTAAAGGCGACAGCTGGGGCCAGACAGATAAGGCCAGCGCCCTGCCTGTGTGCAGACAGCCAGGGCAGGCCGCACCGGGGATGCTTCCTTCTTCAGGTCTGTGTCTTCCCCACCCAGGTCCTGCTGCACCACGAAGTCCACGGCCCACCCAGAGGCTGGCAAGGGCCCCGTAGCTCAAGTGTGATCCAGGAGCACTGCCTGGCCAGGAGCCCCTCCTCCGTTGGGGGCTCCATTTACACCCTTAGCACCCCCGGCCCCACCTGGGTCAGGTGTTTGGGCCACCAAAACACCATCATTTTCTGGGTGTCTTGATGACAAGACACACTGCCCCAGGAAGGAGGGAAAACCCCCCAGCAACACCCAATGCCACCACCCATCGCGGCCAGGCCCAGGACACCTGGTTGCATTAAAGCTCAAACTTCACTCTTGTCCTGGCTAACCAGCAACATCACCCATGTCCAGAGAGTCACAGGAAGGAGCTAGGGACAATGGCCAGTCCACCAATGGTTCAGCAACACATTAACACCCACTGGCTCAGAGTGGGGGTGTCTTCGGGGAGGCATGAAGCTCCGCCTCGCTCCATCCTGCCTCCCTGTCTCTGGGGTTGGGCCCCCAGGGATGCCGACTTCACAAGAGGGTGTGTGAGAAGATGCTCTGGACAGGGGGGTGGGGCGGTGCATACACGAACCACTGAAACACACGCACTTTACTTGCAAAACACACAGCTGGCCTTGTCCTGGCCCCCAGCCTCTCCCCTTTGGGAGGGGACAATCAGAGCAGCACTCAAAGGCTCTGGGAGCCTGTACCCCTTCCCTTCCTGACCCAGCAGGAACTCTGACCTCCATAGAGTGAGCCCAGCCCTGGTGTCACACTGGCATCTCAGTCTCGGGGGCCTGTCCCACCAGGACAGAAGGACAGTTGGGGGAGGGGCAGGTAACAAGCATGTCCACTTGGGACACAGAGTAAAGCCACGGAGCCTGGACCCTCCCACCGTTCCCAGAAAGAGGCTCCTCAACCATGTCCATGGGGCAGCAGCAGCAGTGACCTGTTGGGCCACAGCTGGGTGGGAACCTTGCAAGCCTCCCCACAAGTCCCAATGCCTGATCTTCCCAAGAACAGTTACTAGGTACAGGACCGTCGATTGATAAGGCCAGCCCGTCCATGATGAAAATCCTCTCTCCAGGCCTGAAGCCACTCCCCAGCCGCTATCCTGCCTGTCCGGCCCCTAGCTGGACAGAACCATAGAATCCAGTTCTGAGCAGCGGCTCCAGCACTTGGTCTTGGGCCTGTCTGTAAATGGCTGCATGCAGGATGCAGGCTCAGGCTGCCTGGCCCTAGGACACACCATTTAGTCCTTTCTGACCCAGTAAGGACATAGGTGCTGCTAACATGCAGCCCGGACTTCCACAAAGGAGTCTTTTGTAAAAAGGTGCTTTCTGGGCATGGTTTTCAGTTCTCAATGAAAAGGCCGGTACGTGGGGCAGAGACCCCTGCAGCCTGCGAATAGCTGTGCTGCCTCACGCAGGGGGCCCAGCTGTCAGACGCTTGGGCTGCAAGGATCGTTTCACCCAGAACTCTACAGCAGCACCGCTATTTCCCCACAGGCCCCCGAGACAGCGCAGGGGAAGGGGCGGGCAGGCTATGCTGCTTCCAGGAAGCTCAGCCAGCCTGGTGTCCGGGGTACACCCAGTGCAGCAGCAGGCACTGGGCCCGAGAACAGTACCAGCTGACCACTACAACCACAGCTGGCCCAAGACCTGGGCCCAACAGGCAGGCAGGCAGCCAGCCAGCCCAGCCCAGCCCAGCCCAGCCCAGCCCACTGACACTCCGAGCCTAGCCTGGCACCTGTCAAACACAACACTTGGCACTGACCCTGGAGCCCTG